TGCTGCTATGTCTTTTCATGTGTTTTACAGGATTGCCATCTGTTGATGAATACCACTCTGAGGCACTCTCACGAGCGAAGGTGTTTGAGAATTCATGTCGGAATGATGGTCGTGTTGGCCTAAAGGTGCATTACATTGCCGATGCTCGCCACCTCCACCCTGGAACATGTTCAATTTCTGTTTCTCGTATGGAAGGACCGAACAGGTTGTTTTCCTGCCTCAGTGGACCACTCAAGACTGAACAGCACTGATGGAAGAAGATTTGCCGCGAATCTCGTTCTCATAATCAGCCTGTTTAATTGCTGTACTGAGGTGACTGCTTCATAACAATGACCATGCATCATTAATTTTTGCATAGTACTTTAGTGCCCCTAAAATTGGAGAATATCGAATTTCTCTGCTAGCATTGTGATTCTTTTGTGAATAAACATCACTACTCTTTTTGAGTAGCATAGCAATGACAGAGTTGGTTTGATGTATGACAAAAATGGAGCTGCTTTTTAAACCTGTACTGTATAATCAGTACCGCCGGAAGCAGTTTTTGATCGGTCTGGTAGTTTCATGGCCTTTTATACTTTGTGTGTGATATGGCGGGTACACACGTCCTCCACAGCAGGAAACATTTGTTGGTGGCCAACAAGTTGGTCCGGTGATAACCCGACCAACCAGACCGGTTCCGGTGGGCCTGATAATTGTGGGGTTCATGAGCAGCTCAAGTACTTAGCATGGTTTTGGACATGTCCTCAGTTGAAACCGACTTCACCCAAGCGTTCTCTGAGGGGACCGAGGTCTACTCTATCAGTTCATGTATTCTGTGAAGTGACATGACCATTCGTGGGGACCTTGCTCATAACTGCAAAAGTCCTTGTCTGATTTTCCACATCAATTGAACGTTGTACATGTGCATGTAGTGAAAGCCACATGCAAAAGGCTGTTCCATGGCACCATGCCACCAAGCTCTGGGTTCATTGGCTGAAAATATTCTTCGGCACAGTAAAGTCGTGCGCCCAAGAGCGTGGAAGCCTAGAACATCCAGCCTGGAATACTAAGAACACCACAGCCCAAATTTAAGAATTGTGGTGCTGGGTTTGTGCTGTTGTAAAACACGGGGATTGTTATTGATTGTCATGTTGTACATGTATTTGAGCTTTACCACTACATACACGTCTGTCTATACACAATACTCAATCTGCGGACAGCATGCTGTTTCGCTCATCAATGCAGCACAGAGAAAATGAGGCAGATGAATGTCCTGCTAGAGAGCATCGAATATAGGTATAGAATCATGCCTTGCAGATCTCGTTACGGCCCCTTCGATGCATGCATGTTTGAACATTAGATGGCTGTGTAGCTTCAGTTATCTCAGAATATTTATTTATCCAGCAGCAACAACGTTGGGCACCGATTAACTGACACACAACTATTCACTATAATGAGTATGCGTTGGAACACTTTACCCCGAGTCATACTATAGCAGTGAATGCCATGCATGGGTTTACCTCACAAACTGAATTTCATAATTTGACATCCAAATCACAGAAGAGTGAGTGGTGTTCCAAACTCACTCCATGTCCTGCGAGCTCCAGTAGAATACTTTAATAGAATACTTCTTATAGCACGTTCTTAGAAACAAATCGTATAGGTTTGAGGCTGTCAACCCAGAAATTTGTGATTTCACAGCCATAGATGTTACCAGTCAGGTCACTGTATACAGTAGGTATGCAGAAGAAAATAGTAGTAACTCTTTGTGGAAGAGCTGTGCCAAAATGTGTACAGTACAGTAAATTAATAAAAAGTGAGAAAAGCAGTGACAAGGCTGTGCATGATGTAGATCCACCAGTAAGTACAGTGTTGTACTGTGTACCGGTGAAACTGTTGGTGTAGTACCCGTATACCACTATAATGATGGCATGGCCCATGCCACTACAATCTATTTGCAGTGGGCCGCAGTAGGCCAGTGCAACAGAAAGCAATTCAGTAGCTGTGTGCAATGTGAACATCTATGACATGCAAGTAAACTGCCATACAGCACAATCGATTACTCTCAGCCCACATAAGTACAATGTAGGCCAATCAGTAGTATAGATACATAGAGCACACTCTGCATCATACATAGTCAGCACCAAATCTATATTGTCGATGTACTTTGCAATGATGAAATGATGGCAAGCGTGCTTGATTCATCATAATACTGCCTTGAACTTGGTTGGAAGTTAGCTGTAAGTTCAGTGGTCGAGGTAAGCACTGAGCTGCTCCAGCTTTCAGAATCCTGCATGAAAAAGGCAGAAAGCAAACCATTGCCTTTGGGTTATCCGTCATAATAATAATAATAATAATAATAATAATAATAAATGTAGGTATAATAGTAGCAAGCTGACGTAAAGAGCCTGTCTTTCAATCCAATAATTCTATCCACTGCATGGACAGACCTGGTGCTTCATTCACCTCTGTTTCTTGCTTTCTCAGAAAACCTACTTCCTCCTTCTGCCATCTAGCTCATGACATACATTTTCTTTACGCCTTTTCAGCCGTGGTCGACTTTCGCCCCTCCTGTTTGATTGGCAATTGCAGTCAACCTGGGGAATACTGACCCTCGATTGTGAATGAAAAAAGTGTCGCCATTGGTGTATTGTTGTTACTCGTGAGGTTGGAAGTATGCAATCAAATGGTCACTAGATCTGAAGATTGTTATTTGCGAGTTGTTTTGTAAACCCGAGGTACATTATTCACAAGTTGGATTGTACATGCTATGGGATGTAGAATAACTAACCAAACAAGAATGGTGTAACAACGATTGAGTCCATTTCCAATTGGATGAACCTAGAGCGCATGATCCATTCCAGAAAGGCGACTTCAGAATTGTCAGCAGCATCATACTTCCATTGAGCTTTTTTTCTTTTTCGAAACGACCCTCTCTTTTCAATTCGAACGAAGGTCAACATACGATTACGGCAGGCATCCATGCACTGATCTTCACTGTATACATGTGCATGTATACTGTACTGTAGTCTGTACAGTCAACTAGTCGTGGTCCACTTGGCTTCCATAGGTGCAACTTGGCTTACGGTAAGTGTCACTACAAGTGCATAGTAGCCCCCCCCCCCCCGGAGTGCGTGTGAACAGGAACTGTGAACTGGTAAAAGAATTATTCGACACCTTCGTTCGTTTCAATGGAGAAGGTTCATTTGGAAAATTGAGGCCTTCGTTTCACCCCTAGCCCCAGGAGCGAAATTTTAACTCCTTGGCTGCCTGTTTGAGCCATCCTTGTGGAAGGGTTGATTTATGCATGCCCGCATATAGACCTTATTCGATAAACGTCACGGTCAGGTGAACTGGGGACCAGGGAGCGGCAAGAGACCTGCACTCAGTGCACAGAGGACTCGTCGTGGGAACATAGGAACAGAAAATACCGGTATTTTACTACTCCCTTGTACGAACTGGGCCTTTCTTGCCACGTTTCACGTACGCGTGCCCCAGCTTACGACAAATCCCTGGAGGCGAGTCCAAAAATCACGTATGTATCTACATATACAATGTAACCGTAACTCTACCAATGTTGCGGATGATGACCCCCCCCCCGGCATACAGAAAGTTGCTATGTCCTGGCCCTCATACAGCATTGCGGAGGCACTGAATCACTTCTGCAAAAAGGACTAGCCGAAAGTGGCACAACAAATTTCTATTCCCAGAAAAGCGGTGTTCCAGCCGAGTTTATCTTCTAATTAAATGGTTTTCTCGGTTGGGATTTCATACCTGACAACCATCCCGACATCGAGGGCGGTAATAGGCACCCAAAAGAGCATTAGTTCCATGCCTCACCGCGAGGTATATTTGTATACATTTTCATGCCTAGGTATGTCATTCCATCTCAGGTTTGCAAAGGTTGGCAGGTATGGGATTTGTAGAGTGACCAGTTCTGACTATTGCCACCTGCTGCGCAGAAGTGTCATTCCTACATCCTGGCTGCAAACATACCTCCCCCCCCCCCCACACACACACCACCACCAACAATGTTGGATCCTATTTACAGGACCTCACTCTATATGAAAGTGTAGCAGAGGCACTGCCAAAGTATAAAAACAACATTTGAAATGCAAGCTCCATTGTGCATGCATGGAGGGCATGGGGAAGAGACTGAGAGGGTAAAAGTGAAGGAAATTTGTTCCGAAATCAAGAGAATCCGAGGAACCCTTGCTGCATTCTTCAGTTCGATAACGTCAGTGGGTGCATCTCAGATGTGTTGTGTGCCCAGACATACACGTAGCACTAACCTGAGCATGAGAGCTGCTTGTCATCATCGTGGTCAGGAAAACGAAAGGACGAACGAAGAAGATTGCTGACCATAACGAACAACAGTGCATATCCAGACGACAGACGGCTTGCCAGAATCAGTCTGGTGCATCTTCAGGAATCTTCTTTCCTAATCGCATTCAGCAGTCAGCTTCGAGGTCAAGAGCGCGATGATATTTTCAGAAGGAATAATTTTCAATTTTTTTTAAATTTTGGAGAAGAAGCTTCCTTTCTAAAAAAAAGCGTTCCTTGCTTTCAAGCAAGGTACTAGGTGCCTTGCGGGACATGTCGTCGACAGCACAGTGTTGGCAGATCCACGTTTGTAGGCTGCAGACCCGGCAGACGTTTTGATCAGCCCGGCCTGGTGGTGAGATTTTGGACCCGGGAGTACTAAAAACTGCTCGCATCCCAGGGTGCTCAGTTTCGCTCTATCCGATCGAGTAAGGCTTCCAGAAAGGCCCTCAGGTGCGCGGCCTGCGGTGCCATAATATACCTCACGTACCGGCAACTTGTATTTCCGTATTGATTTGTTCACATGGTGGTGTACTTCATCGCACTTGTACGGTAGTTTAAGGAAGGCAGAGCGGGGATTACCGCGTCGTCTACGCCGAGGTTTCCTGGCAGCTTCCCTTGCTTCCGATATGATACTGTCTGGGTAGATATTTATGCGCAGTTGTTTGTGTATTTTTTGTTCGCTCTCGGCTTGCATCATGGGGTTAGACGATAGTCGCTGTGCCCTTAGGAATTGAGATTGAGCGACGGCTGACTTGATGTGGTGAGGAACTGCCGATGAATAATCCACCAGTAGGCCACTACTGCATGCCTTCTGGGACAACTTGAATGACAGCTCTCCGGTTTGCCCAACCGCGATCGTTACGTCCATGTAGTCTATGCAGCCACTGTCACAACTTAATTCATGCGTGAATTTGATACGTTCGTGGCTGGCGTTGAATCTTTCTATGAGCTTACTACGAAAATGTGTTCGAACGTTGCAGTGTAAATAGAAGGGAGCGAGTCCGCTCCATCTGAAATTCTGTATGAAACTGCAGGAGGCCTCACCGCTTCTAATTATTATTTACATTATTAAATTTGAAACTCGGATGTTGAGCCATAAATAAATGTAGAAGAGAAAAGGACATAGGGATAGAAAAGGACATAGGGATATATGTCCTTTTCTCTTCTACATTATTAAATTTGCTGTAATCAATTCCGGAAATTCCCGGCTTGCGGACACAGGGGTAGCAGTGCTTGGACGTTGGTCTCCAGTCGTGTCGTTGGCGGGACACTTTGATTTAATGATGATCGCTCATATCTTCATGGGTGGACACTGCTACGGTCTTCACTGTGCTAGGCGTCAGCCTTTGGGTAATCCTGAAATAAAGATTAGTATTTTTCAACGCATTTGCAATGAACCGACTCTTCACAATTACAATCCATAGCACCATGCCAAAGAACATTATAATCGTAGCAGTCTAAGGGGCCGTCCGTAAATATCGATGTTTTTTTAGAGACGTTATTGGTGCGTCTGGGGGGGGGAGGGGGTTTGTAGCCATGTGCGGCTTTTCGAGCATCAGAAAAATATCGATGTAAATATCTGAAGTTTCGCCGATCCCTGCACGCGGACGTCTAAATGGCTATACAAGAAATGTGAAACCAGCTTCCGTTCGCGGAGCTAAAACTCGCGACACAAGAACAAAATCAAAAATTGGAAGCTTTACGCCCATGGCGAATTTCAAGAGCAAAAGAATGAGCTATTGATTGTGGAAATCGGCCGAACGATGCCTGCAGGAGACCTTTTTCAAGACGTAGAGGCAGTGCGAACAAACACGGACGAACTCCAGTCTTCATTGTCTGAACAAGGATTTGAAAAAATTCAAGCCCGAGCGTAGCCGCTTTGGCT